GGTTTTCTTTTTGTAAGCCCATTTAAAAGGGAAAAAAAAAAAATTCTTGCTTAGAGACATTAAACTATTACTGACCAAGGAGACACTGAAATATTTTGTCTCTGGATCTATGTTTTGGAGCAAGAGGACCCCCTCCAAGTCCTCCAGCGCCTTGATGTTTTATGTTCTATTTCCTTAAAGCACCAAGAAACAACATAGTCTCTTCATAGTAAGAAAAGGGGGACTCTTCCAGTGGACTTCCAGTTTCATGACAGCATGGCCCCTAGAATTTCTGGTTGTGGTTTTTGAAGCCAAATGCACCTGTATTCCTTTTGGCTTTGGGAAAATAAATGGGTCTTGATAAGGACGGGGCTGCATCTTAGCTGCTGCTTTCCTGAGGAGAACTGTAGAATGGCATGCTCCTCTTCCCTCCTCTCTATGAATTACACTTAGCTGGCAGTGTCTCACACAGCACCTTATTATCCAAGCTGTCCTCCCACCTGTATTGTATCTGATTGCGGGTCTTAGTCATGCAGTCAATGAATAAGCAGTCTGAATGGAAGCTTGAGCTGTAGGAGGAAGGGTTGTGGAGGGCCCCAAGCATCCGCCAGTGCTCAGCATGGAAGTTCTTTCCTTCTCTGTATGTATGTGCTTCTGTGTCATTCAGTAAAACCATTCAGGGTCAATCCTATAGCCATGCCATGGTCAATCCTATAAAACAAAGTATGTTACAACATCTAAGCAGCATTAAAAGTTTGGTTAAACAGCACAGGAGAGGGAATGTTGAAAACCCAGCATCTTTTAAAGCATGCACAAAGGGAGGTGAAACAGCAAATTCAGAGAAAAAGGCTACTTTGGTGATGAAAAATATCTAGAATTGTGAAGTTGAGTAAGACAGCCTGGTTTTATCAAAAAATGAGAAATTAATCAGAGAACAACTTGTCTATGTGAGAACTAAGCATGAAGATTGCAGGAGGCAGCAACCCTTCCAGATCATATTTTTTTCTTTCCCAGACAAAGGTTAAGTGTGCAGATTACATGTCTCCCGGCTGTTGCTATCTACTAAATTAGGAAATCTGCAGGGCTCAAGAGCCCCTTTTTGCTCTGAGGCAAGGTCTGTTGATAAGCACAGCTCTGAAGGCTGCTGCTGTGGGCTTGTGTGCCTCTGCTAATGTGCCCCATAACCAGGGAAGGGCTGGTCAGGTATTTTTCATCGGGTTAGCTCACATGACAAGGCTGTTTCTCACCATTTACACTGACTTTTACTTCCTCAGTGCTGCTTATCATGCCAAACAGCAGCTCCCAACATCCATAACTCATCTCTGAAGAAAGCAGAGACATAGGGAGGTCTTCCTGCCACAAATTAATGTGAAAGGCAGCACTTGTGTGTTTTGGCAATAGTTGTATAAAAGATTATTACAAATTCAGGATTTAACAAAGACATATTGATTTATTGCTGCCAAAGGGGCAGAGAAGTATCATAATTGCACAGTGCCCTAATTGCTTAAAAGAAATGTAAAACTGTGGCTATAAAGGAACTAACCTCCTGCACACATGTGTTCACATGCACATGCCATGACAGTTGCCCTTTGTTCTCTCCAAGGGATGTTATTCCATTTCTTAAGAAACAGTGGGAGATTCAGTGGCCAAGGAGTTGGTGTCAGCCCATCTGCCAGTCTATGGGAAATGCACAGTATTCTGCCCCAAGACTGAATGTTCTTCTGCTAAGAAGGTAGAGAAGCAGGCATGGACATTGCCATCTCACAGCATACACCTACTCAACTGTTTTTAGGGAACAATTAATCATCCTCTTCTCCCCTTCTCCCTCTCAGTGAGCACTCAGTGCCATTGCTGACAATCAGCTAATATGCAGTGTGATTGATTCCCTTTTGGAGGAACTCAAATGAGTTTCTCCCACCACACCAGTAACATCAGTCTTGGTGTGAGATGACTGACAGCCAGAAAGAATACAAGTGCAAGCCGTAAGCAGGCAGTCCTTTTAGTGAGAGCACTTCCAATAAGATAACCACGTTATTAATGTCTCTTCCAAGAACTGACTTATAAAACCACAATCGATTATAAATATAGCAACCAGATGGTTCCTTACCCTGGTCAAGGGCTGCCAGGTACCATGAAGGACGGGTAGCAAACAAAGAATTAAAATACAAAGTCTACAACATGCGTGACCACAACCACGCTTACATTTTTAAAGGTTAATAATAAGAGGCATTTAAATCCTGTCCTATATTAATATCCAGGGTCAATCACTGATGTCTTCTAGTAAAGCCACTCCCCATTTTAAAACTCTACCTATTTTCTGGGCCAGGATATTTCACAGGGTGCCTTTAATTCAAAGGCAAAGAGGAGAAAGCTGGATGTCCCACCTGGGAGCATGCACTGGATCCTGGATGTCTGTTCTTTGCTGTCATGTGTGAACCCAGAAGCTCAGCACTGCTGGTCCCTTCCAAGGACAGGATTTAAGATATTGTGGAAGCCTTCAGCCCAACATCTCCAGACTTCTCAGCATTTCAGTATACTTCCTTAATAATATTGGTCTAATACAGTTTTTATTTGTGCTATTTATATTGTCTCAATTTCTAAAGGCTCATTTCCTATAAAGAGCACGGGAATTAAAAGTCTTCAGTGCTGGTCTTTGGCATGAAGGATGTGCCAGTCCAGGCTGTGGTCCCTACGGGCAAGTCTTCTGCAGGATGGATGCTTTGTTTACTTTTTCCCTGTCTATAATTATTGCAGTTGTTTTCCAAGGAAAAAAAAATCATCCCCGCTGAGCAGTGAGCAGACGTAAACAAACAAACTTTTCCTTTGTCCTAATGGAAACCCCAGCATCAGATCTGATAAAGTGTGATGGGTTTTGCTTAAAGACAAAAGTTCATTAAGGAAGAAAATAATTTGTTTTCAGAGGATACTTGTGGTGCAGAGAGGGGACAAAGCTTGGAAAAGGTTTCCCTAAGGTTATTCCTGCATGAAAAGCTCTTCGCTTCCTTCTGGGTTAAGTACGTGTGTAGGCATTGCTCAGCAGAGAACTATGTGGCCATGCACCTCTGGGAGAAACACCAGGGCCAAAAATCTTCAGAGTTCTTAGGGATGTGAGGGCAAGGAGGAAAATGCTGTTTACATCAAGAAGTAACAGGAGCTCTCTTGTGCATGGACCAGAACAACAGGCAGGACTGCCTTGGTGTCTCCCAGCACCTTTGAGTTTGCTTGTCGGAACCCAGGGCACTAGTGACATAATTCTGCTGAGGAAAGTGTAGGAACTGCAATTGCATGCTTCAGAAGTGCAGAAAGGCCCTTTGCTTTATCCTCTGATCAAAAAATCAGGCGTAGCCAGGGAGCAAACTAATGGAATCAAGATCTGGCTTGATGGAGAAGACTTGTATGAAGAATGTGAAGCTTTGAGTTAAAGTTTTGTCTTTCTAAAGCCTGAATGACCAAAACAGTGTTTTCAACGTAGTAACAACCTGAAAACTGATTGATGAATTTCCACCTGCTTTCTCCAGGCTATTCTTAATAGTCATGCCTGATATTTTCTCCAAGGCTAATCAGAATTTAAAGCAGTTTTTGAAGAGCAGAGTGTAGATGGAGGGGCCTGCTTGCACTATGGGTGTATTCTACAAAGAGCAGCCTTTTTTTTCTAAAGTTTGTATTTTCACCTTCATATTGAGGAGAATTTCTGTCTCATTACAGTTTTTGAATAGGAGTCCTTGTACACAGAACTAAGCAGCTGTCTAGCTACACATTCATAATTTCTCATTCATATTCTTGATTCCTCTTAACTTGCATGTGGAAACACTCTCTCAGAGCCTAACCCAAGTCCTGCTGGTGTCAGTGAGAGTGGATTTTATTACTTCTCAAATTTAGCCATCTAAAATCAGATATGTATTCTAAGTGCAACTGTGGAGGAGCCACCTTTAGCCAAAGTCAAGAAAGATTAGCATTTCTAGGGGATGATTCCTACCATCTGCCTGAAAGATTTATCTGGAGAGGGGGCATGTATAGTTCTGGCAGCAGCTGTCTCAATCCAAGCTTCTCAGGGGAGCCTGCACAACTACCCTACAAGAATCATCATTTTTAAATAAGTGAAGTCAAGGAGAAGAATCTTATGATTTCTTTTAATGGCAAAAGATTCAGGCTTTTAGTTCCCTACAACTTTTACAAGGGGATAAATTAGAAACAAGAAAGCAACGTCCCAGAGGGTGTCTCAGGTTGCATCCCACAGGTTGCTTACTGTGGCCTCAGTCAGTATTTGGGATGTATGGAAAGGACTTCAGCACTTTCCCCAAAAAAAAACTTCTGAAGAAAAATAAGCCTTTTTAAAGTTATTGTTTGTAAATTGCATCATAGTGTACTGCCTGACAGGCAGGGAAATATGATAGAACTCTCAAAGCAAAGGCAGGAGCTTTTTGTCTGTATTCTCCAAAGATACACGCAGTGGGATATATGAAATGTCAAGAATAATTAGACAAAACTATACAAGCTCCTAGCAACACTAATGTGCTCTGTAAAATTAAGCATTTGCCATAAAGCTTTAAACACTGTTTGAAAGCTGTACGTTAAAGGTAACCTGAATAATTTTTAAGTACTGTTTCCGAGATATTAATAAAGACATGGATATGAAAAAGCAGAAAAGAAAACTGTGAAATACTGACATGCTTATGCTGATGTAGGCTGCTCAATTTCTCCTTTCTAAAGATGATATATAGAAGTAATTGATTCCTCTCCTACAGCAATTAAAGTGAAAAGGCAGATTTCCTGTGCTCTTCATCTGCTGGAGCCTGTTTAACAATCAGGCAAAGAACTATCTGCCAGTATCAATAATTCAGAGACTGCAGAAATGTTTGTTGGAAGGGACCTCTGGAGGTCTAACATCCCACTTGCAGCAAGACCCCCAAAGTCAAAGGAGAAATAAACCTGCAGGAAATACAGACAAAAATGTCCTCTAGAAATGGGAAATAAATGAATGCATAGAAAAAGGGGAAGAAAGGAGAGAAGAAAGGCCAAAACCTTTTTTTTTTTTTTTCTAGGTCCACTAACAGATTTGTTTTTATCTTCTAGGAAAATGATAAGCAGGAGGAAACCTGGAAGCTTTCTGCTGCGCTGTTGAATATGGGAATATAAAAACTTTTTTATCTAAAATATCCGAATAGACAACTTCTGAAGTTAAAACTACCTGCTACACGAAGCAGCCACTTCTCCTTTCACTGTGCATCCTGGAGGGGAAAATGAATTTCACAAACTGTACCACTGAAGCCAGTGTGGCTACAAAGCCAAAAACTGTAACTGAGAAGATGCTTGTTACCCTGACCTTGGCCACAATCACAACCCTGACTATGCTGCTGAATTCTGCTGTCATCGCGGCAATCTCCACAACCAAGAAGCTCCACCAGCCTGCAAATTATTTAATATGCTCGCTAGCTGTGACAGACCTTCTTGTTGCTGTCCTCGTCATGCCCTTGAGTATCACTTACATAATGATAGATAAGTGGACTTTGGGATACTTCATCTGTGAGATCTGGTTGAGCGTCGACATGACCTGTTGCACGTGTTCAATTCTTCACCTATGTGTTATTGCTCTGGACAGGTACTGGGCTATCACTGATGCCATTGAATACGCCAGGAAAAGAACAGCAAAAAGGGCTGGGTTGATGATAGTCACCGTGTGGACCATCTCCATTTTCATATCAATGCCCCCTTTGTTTTGGAGAAACCACCACAGTGTCAGTATTCCCAGTGAGTGTCGCATTCAACACGACCATGTCATCTATACTATTTATTCCACATTTGGGGCATTTTACATACCCTTGACTTTGATCCTGATCCTATACTACAGAATCTACCACGCTGCAAAGAGTCTTTACCAGAAGCGGGGCTCAAGCCGCCATCTCAGCAACAGGAGCACCGACAGCCAAAACTCATTTGCCAGCTGCAAGCTCACACAGACGTTCTGCGTCTCGGACTTCTCCACTTCTGACCCCACCACAGAGTTTGATAAAATTAATGCATCCGTGAGGATTCCTCCTTTTGAGACTGACTTGGACCTGGCTGGTGACCGACAGCAGATTTCCACCACGCGGGAGCGAAAGGCTGCTCGCATCTTGGGACTCATTTTAGGAGCTTTCATTTTGTCCTGGTTACCCTTTTTCATCAAGGAGCTGCTTGTGGGCCTCCACCTTTGCATTGTCTCTCCAGAAGTAGCAGACTTCTTGACCTGGCTGGGATATGTCAACTCCCTCATCAATCCCTTGCTGTACACGAGCTTTAACGAAGATTTCAAGCTGGCCTTCAGAAAGCTCATCAGGTGTCGAGAACATACTTAAAAGTGCTGGGAGATGATGATGATGACATGACTCCTGGCCTTAAGAACGAGCAAAATAATTTGACTTTGTTACTTCCCTTGACAAAGGGGATTTTGATGTTTGCCTCTTTGCTTAACTTTCTTCAGCCAGTAATTTGTTCTGCTGTTTTTTTTACCTCTGGTGTTATTCACGGTGAAAAATTGAAATAAATTTATTCTACAAAGGAATGGATTTTTTTAGCAATGAAACAGACAAATAACAACAAGAAAATATTAGATATTCACATTTAAGGCATTTTGTGTAATCAATAATTCAAGAAGGAAACAACAGTATTCACATTTCTTTTATACTTTTTTCATTTAAGAATCGAATGTCTAACTTGACGTGCACTGTAGTAATATAAAGGCTTGTAAGCTGAATCCAGAAATTCATGTTCAAAAATTAATAAACTTCATGGTCATGACAACTAAACAGAAATTCTTTACTGTGGCATTTTGAGAAAACTGTAACCATTTTTTAGAAGGAAAATAACCACCATTACAGCAGAATAAGCCATTCTATTCTTATCCCCACAGAAATGCACTATCAAAACAGAAAGCAAAGTTAATTTCATTCCTTCTAAAAACAGATCTCATTTTGTACTCCAAAGTAATCATTTAAGTGACCTTTTTTTTTTTCCCCAGTTTTCTGATTTATGTTAAAAGAATTGGACAGAAACTGTGCAGTTTTTCTGGCAACTGAGAGAAGCTACAAGACACAGATAGCAAGTGTCACACTTGTAAGATCAACTGCACACCTGAATGGTCACCTTTTTAATACTGCTGTAATACTGCATTCCTTCAGGGCTCAGGCCTTGTGCCTCGGTCAGTTGTGAGGTGGCATTATCCAGTTTTTCCCCACTTTCCCTGGATCTGGCAGTGCACAACCCCATGGATCATCGACCTTAACCCACAGACTCAGGCAGCTGCATGTTTTCTCAGCAGATCAGTAAAGTATGGTGTTCAGAAATATCATCTGAAAGAAAAAGACGAATTACTTTGTTTGAACTGCAGCAGCAGAAAAGAAATAAGGAAAATAACTTTTTAAAAATAGCACACTTCATCTTTCAATTTGTAACAGCATTCTTGTCACTTAACCTATGATCAAACCCTCTAGCGGAATTTCTTGCTCTGGCTGTTCTCCAAGGAGTTACTTCTCTCATCCAGATAGAGTCCTTCATACCCTTTCTTCTGTGTTTATGGAAGCTAAAATGCCTTGGCTCAAACAGTTTGGAAATGAGGCTGGGAAGAAGCAAAATCAAAGCTAAGAATCTGGCACTGCCCATTAGTACCTCCTAAATACTGCTGAAATATTGATTACTTATCTTGCCACACAATTTTCTTTCCTGTCCATTTTTTTTTCTGGACAAATTGTTTTTGAATTAAACCAACATACCATATAGAAAATATCACATATATCACCCTGACATGCAGTAACTGAACTGCAGCATGGCAGCTCTAAATCCATCAAAACAGACATTAGAGTGTTGTAACAGCACTGGAAGCCAAGTCTGGAAAATGTTTTGAAAATTTACAACACAGAGTCATTTTTCCTATCAAGAGTCCAGGAATTATAAGTAATGTGAGTAATAAACTCTGGATGGAGCTGAGAAATGACATCCTTGTTTCTGAGGGAAAGTGTTTAGTTGGAAAGAAGTAGTTCTGCAAGCTGAGTGTAAATCAAATCTGAGGGTGACAAAAACATGACCTACTGCTTACACACATCCAGCAGGACTCTGCTTCAAGGACTACAAGTTTTCCATACCTGGATTTAGGAGGCTTATCTCCAGCTGTTCTTCTGAAGCTATTGTCACTGCTGTCACCTCCATCTATTTTTGGTTCCCTGATAGTTAGCATTAATATCTAAAAAGAGGGGAAAACAGTCATCTCAACCACCGAGGATGTCTTCCAGTGGGGAAGCCCAGAGATCCACTATAGTTTTTCATTTTCACAGTTTGATAGAGATGGAAACTGTCCATGAAGGTGGGGATCCTGCCTGTCTGTGAAACTTCCAAAGCAGTCTCACGGAGTACATGTGCTATTAGGGAAAAAATAACCAAATGCCCAAAATGGTGAGAGTGATCTCCAAAATAGCTGCTGCTGGTAGGGAGAAACGCTTCCAAGAGTGGCATGAAAATTGTAAAACAGACGAGCTGTATCATCTTCATTTCTACTTAAGTCCTTCAGGTATCTGATCTCCACTATTATCACTCAGGCTACCAAATGGTGTCAGGTTGAAGACTGTTGAATTTTAATATCTAGAGATAACGAACAGGGGAAAAAAACAGATGGATGGCTAATTTTTGTGCTTCCTTCTTAAATACTCAGCATTCACTGTCAGCTGACTACTGCTTTTGTAGTTAAATCATTAGTTAAATACAGAGCTATGTTTTCTAACAAATGTCACTAGACTGATGAAGATGTCTTTTATGTTTTCTCCACACACAAAGCCAGGAACAGCTTAAAGGACTCTTGACTTACAACAATTTAACTTGATCAGAAATTACCTGCCATCTGATGGAAATAAAAACCTTTGCTAGTCCGGCACCATTACTTGACAATCTCATTTTTTTTCCATGTTAAGAATTTGTGGATTTTATGAAAGGTTTGGACATTTCCCAAGCTTAGACTCTTTTTCCATGGAAACTCCCCATTTATTCCTATCCTAGGTTAAGCCACACCATGGCCTGCAATGCAAGCTCTTCCCAGCAAGTTCCTAATGAAACATCCAAGACCTTCACCAGATACACTTTCCTTAGCCACTCTGAAATATCTTTTCTCCCCAAAGTCTTATTTTTCCTAAAGATCCACTTACCCATTTCCTAGCTTTTTTCCTATCATCTCCCTCTAAAGGTCTCTTCCCAAGCCCATCCCCATTCTCAACATAGGCTACATATACTTGCTTGTATAACCCCTCTTCTCCTTCATACTTATTTTCCCTTATTTTACACTCCCAATTTCCCATCTCTCCATTAAGTTTCTGATTCTTTAATCCCCAAATTTATTTTTCTCCTGCTGGAGTAAGGCCCTAAACTCTGCTTCTGTCTTATCTCTATTTCAGTGCTGCTATCAGCTTTCTTGTGAGTTGGATATTCAAATCTGCTGCTTTTTACTATCTCTTACATGTGCTCCACAATTCCAGAGCATATTCTCTCTATGTCAGCAGACAGTTCTTTGGAGCAAGTTCATATGTCCCTAGTCCCATTGAGCCCCTTTGAGAATGGGGATTCTCCACCACAGTGATGCACTGAGTTGTTTGAAGCACATGAGATTTATGTTGTTGATCTTCCTGTATGCAGATGGATGATGGAATTGAACTCTCCAAAATAATTTAAAACAAAGTTTCACCAAGTGTATACTGAAAGGGCTGTCACTTTTTGCATTTTACTGCTACGTGTGTGAACTGCACAGTTTTTCATAGTTGCCACTTCTTTTTTTTTTTTTTTTTTTTTGTTACTGCCAGCACAGTCTGTCCTTTGCATGTACCAAAAGGAAACAAAAAAACATAGCTTTATTTGTCACGAGATGCTAAAAGAACAAAGGAATCTTTTCTAATGACTCTTCATGCTTCTCCATTTTCAACTCCAGTCATCAAAAAGTAAACAGGATTGCAGCACTGGGAGGAAAAACAGGCTTCCAGCACAAGTGGAGAGATTGTTCTTGTGCCTTGTGTCCTCTCATTAACCATTGAAAATATCAATGATGGACTGTTTGATGTTCATCTTTTACACACCCAAATGATTTGTATGAGAAATTATCTTAAATTGCTTTGTTGTTTAAGTGGACATAGATATTGTGATATCTTTTATTGGTGTAGCCAATATATTACAAGTTGTATTTCATAAGAGTCCCATGCAACACACATATTATCTTTGTAACTGCTATCTGTTTACTCTTCAGGCCAAAAAGAATAAAATTTTATAAAATGATATGAGTTCAGATAAATGCCAGCTTTATCAGCTGTAAAAATACTCTTTATCATTTTCTATTTTCTATTTTGTACATAATATTGCCAGCATTTCTCCCTTATTCCTCTACCACTGCCAGGGGATTTTTACTTTTTCATTATTACATGTAGATGATTTTATATATATTGCCTTCAGTATGGTGAAATTATTCCTTTTCACCCGGTCTAACGCAACCATTTGCTACTTTTGAATTAAAATAAACTAGAAATTATAGCCTGCCATGCCTGTCAGCCCTGGAGAACACCTTACAACATTCCTCATGGTTTAGTATGGCCTTGCCCAAGTGTACAGTCCTTGCATTACAGATTCTTCCTCAGTGTGTCGGGGAAGAACTCCACTTATTTCCATGAACATTGAATCAGCCCTTAAATGTAAACTTTCAGTATTGCTCCTGTAGAAGAAGCAACCATGAGTAACCTGTGCGAAAAAAAACATACACTAGCAAATGTTACAAGCCTCTGATTAAAAGATAAAATATTTTTTTAACCATTTTTTCCTTTTTAATCACTTTGATTTCCTCTTCATCTTACCACTCAAGAGCTGTGTGTATGTGGCACTGGGGGACATGGTTTGCAGGCATGGTAGGGATGAGCAGACAGTTGCACTAAGCAATCTCAGAGGTCTTTTCCAACCTTAATGCATCATCAATTCCTTTTCCCCCCGTTCCTTATCTCCCTTCCCTGCCTTCCCACTACAGCCTTTCTCTGCACCACAGTGGCATCAAGTAACATGCAGCAAGCAGCAAGGCCACCTTGGGCTGTGCTAACACACAACATCACTATGCTCTTAGTTTTAGGAATTCAGGCTGCAGACACTGTTCCGTGGTACTGCTCTGCACAGCCTCTGCTCACATTTCATTGCAGCTTCACTACCAATCAGATATCTAACATGCATCAGGATTCTTTCAAATGAAGGATACTAAATAATACACTATGGTGGCTTCACATGCACCATGATTTTTAAGATCTCTTTTTAATTATTCATTCATTACACCTCTCCCACAGGGCTTCTATCTATAGAAACTGCTGCCATGGTCAGTATAGCCCCCAGATGTCATAAGCACTGTTGGAAATGCTCCCCTCCTCTCTGTGTATTTTACCTTTTTCCAATTGCTTGCACTGCACTCTTAAAATACATTAGCATATAGATCAGCTCTCTGAAGTTTTCATGGATTAATTTCCTGCATGACAAATTCTCACCCTCATTTCTGTCTGGTGCAAGGTCCCACGTCACTGGGGTACTCCAATCTTCTGAAGTTCTATGAGTGCAATACTCATTTCACATACAACATGAGTGCAGATGGACACATTTCCGTGAGGTGAGGCACAAAGCGTTGTCTCCTTGAAAGTACACTTTATAAAAGATGCATGTTTTGTCAATTAAGAAATGAAATATAACTTCTGGAAAGAGGGAGGACTGAATTCATACTCCTCTGTAAACAGCTGGTTTGAACACAATCTGAAATGACTCAACTTCTGATTATTAATTTTAAAGGAATACTAGGAATACAAACTTGAAATCACAGGTGTGTGCCTGAATTGCCAGAAATAAGCAGAGTGACCTTCCAGTTGTTTTCACAAACAACGTAACTAAAGCCTTCCACAACAGCCTCTTCAGGGGAATAGGAAGTTTCACACAAACGACTTCCACTCCTGTGACACCGCCAGAAATAATCTCTATCATCTGTAGGAGGCACAAGTGATGAGCTGCTAGAGTACTGGGATAAGCCTCAACAAGCTTATCTAATAAATACACAGCCAGGTTAACTCCTCCAGCTTGAGAGTTTTTAAATTGAAGAATTAGACCACTAAAATCAAGTGTATCTCCTACACCTTTACTTTCATTTATACATATTCCAGTGCAATGTCTCATTCTTTTATTGCTAAATCTCTATTTAAGAAATAAAAGGAATCACTTTTTAAACATGGAATAACAAGAAAACATTGTATCACTTATCTTTGCTGTTTCATCAGAACTTTTCTGTATAATGACTGGATGTTCATTCTGAAGCAGGCAGAAAGAAAAAAAATGCAAATGAGTCACAGAAGTTAATCTAGGATTTGCAATCCTATTAATTAAGCGTGGTTGTCTTGGTCCAGTGCTTGCATAAAAACACAAGTCTGTTTTTTTCCAGCAGCAATTTCACTCCTTGCTAGAGAAAAGAATACCTGTGTTTTTAATAGAGGTCAGTAAGAGGCCTTACTCCTTCTCCAGCCAGAGAAACGAACAAGTAACAGGCAACAGCCTCCACTAGAAGAAAGCTGAGAAGCAGCAGGTGGCCGAGCAGAAGAAGAAGCCCAGTTGGTGATGCCACATGAGATAGCTCCTGGGGGCATGGAGAACACTGAGCACCTCCTGATGGCTTTCCCAGTCCCTAACTCACACCCTCTCTCTTCCTTCCACATCACTGTTCATTCCTCTTTCTCTTACTCTTTGGAAAATCAATTGCTATTGGTGGATCCTGATGAAGTGAGCAGTCACCCCAAGTCAATGGCCATGATGAGGAGCACACAAGTCTGAAGGTTCACTGGGCCAGCCATATTCCCTTCAGAGATTACAGCTATTTATGTATTGAAGAAACAGCCAGTAGGGTATCTTCTAATGGAAATTGTTTTCACATGAAGTTTTAAGAAGATGAATCAGCTGGTTGTGTTTAATTTTTATATATTACACACCCATAAAATGATCGGTACTCGATTTAAAGGCACACAAATCAGTGGTAGATCTGGTATTGTCTTCAAGTGCCTTCAAATGACAAACAAAATTTAGAGCCACTTCTGAAGGTTGACATAAAATTTGACTCATAATATGCCTTTCAGAGTTACAAAAAGCAACATTGCCTTTGTGCCTGTTATGTTACGAGAGATTTTCTTGATTCTATCTCTGATTCCTCTTTCCACACATTCCCTCATCATTCTATCACACTACTTTATTATGAATAATTTCCTTTAGATTTAATGGTTTAGTTTGACTTTATCAGTAGCACACTGATTATGATGTGCATTTCTCAAGGAGCTAAATAAAAGACATTGCAAGCATGAGTAGCAGGATGTGAAACACCAGCCTAGCTAGAACATAACCAGAATGAAGGTTGATTAGGCCTCTTGATTTGCTCCCTATGTGTTTTCACTCTATTTCTCATCAATTCTGTATATCTGAAAGAGCATTCTGCATATGTGGTACTCTGAGATCAGCACTTTGGCACTGAAATGACAGGAAAAAAGCTAGGCAAGCTAAAGAAGTGACAGGTTAAATGTATTATGCTTCTACTTACATATGTGCCCCATTAAGGACAGAACTACTATCATCAGCATGAAAACTACTGGCTGCTGTCATCTGAGCTGAAAGGCATACTTTTCTCATAAGTGATTCTTGCCTCCTCTCCAGGCCAGCAGCTGGAAGCAGACAAGATTTCATGTCCCACACAGACCCCTGGGCACAGGAAGCAGAATTGGGCTGCCCAGCCCTGGCCCTGATGTTGGACTGTCACTGAACAGACATGCTATGCACCACCACCCCCATGGCACTTGTAAGGAAAGCTCCGTGAGCTCTGACAGCTCAAGTCTGGATTTAATTTTTAGTTGACAAGCATTGTCTTCCTCAGCACGGGATTGCGACTGCTTTACACTGATGAATTGTCTCTGTCCCTTAACTTCACTCAGTTACTTTATACTGAACATTTTCCAGTCATTTTCTGGCTTTTTACCAACTTCATACATACTTTGTTTTCACCGCTCATCAGGTGTGTTAAGTACGTAGTTCCTCAAGTGGTCTTTTCATCTTTCCTGATAACCCACAGTTTCACATTCCATTTTTACCAATCTACCACTTTATGTGCAGTGATTGACAAGTGAGCATCTTAACTAGTCATATCAAATGCTTCCATCATTGTAAGACCTTTCACTGGCTCTAAAACAGCCTTGCCACTTCTTTCTCTAATTCTTTCCAAAATAATTGCTACATTGTGTTTCATATAAAGCTCATTTTCTTGCCAAAAATGCAGTACTTGGCCTTGTAAGGTACAGAACTTTCAATGATCCAAAGCTTTTTGGTGCCCAAAGCACATTGTTTTCTAGGCCAAATGAAGATTATTTCATGTAATTTCTTGCTTAAAAAGGTTAAGTAGAGATCCACTGCTCTTTGCCAGCTGATGCTAAATGAATTGAAATCTCAAATGCTTACAGCTGCATTATATACCCTGCCTGGTGAGACCAAGACTGGGAGCACAATAGGAATTATCAAGGGGAGCATGAAATGCAGACAGGATGACGTCTGGCTGCAGATGAAGACACCAAAATTTGGATGTGCACTGGGAAGTTTCTGTGTGTGTGCTGGGTCTGTCAGTTCCCATCACTGCCAAAAGATAACTGTCCAACTCAGACTTTTGGATTCAGGGGCTGTGATTCATTTTGCCCAGGAAAAGATACCTGCACTCAGACAGAGGCCTCACAGATCTATGCCTTTCCAAGACAACAGTGAGACACTGTAGGGTACCTCAGTTGTCACTAAACCTAAATTCTGCTCTAGATTCTCACCTGCTCCATCAGCAGCTTGGACCCCTGCCTTGACTGTAGGCAATGACATGTACAGACTTAAACTGAAATACTGCCATCCGAGAATGAGATTTTAGTTTCACCTTTTAAAAATAGACTTTAAAAAACACACTCTGTGTGAACAACACGTCTTCTAGAGAGAAAGTGTTCTTCATTTTCCCACTGTGCACTTGCTTTGGTCTTTCTCTGAATCGTATGAAAATATTTTCTACCCCACGTCTTCACAATAGTGATGTGCAGGATGCTGGAAAAAGCAAGGCAATCTGAGGAAATAAAAGTGAGAATACATGTTCAGATGAAGGAAAGAGACAACTTTTGCGTGAATTCATGGGAACAAAAAGGAAAAGGAATGCAAATGAAGCCAGTCTTTTGAGTGAACTAATTCCAAACAAAAGACCTGAAAACCTGGAGCTAATAATAAAATTCTGTACAAAAAAAAAAAAAAAAAAAAAGTTCCACTGTTGCAATCAGAGTGGCACAGCTTCTCTGCTCACAAGTCACATGTGGCAATGTTAAAATAGATGTCCCTGAGGGTATTTTTTTCTAACTGATAGTATAGTTATTCTTTTTAAATATTTGTTAATGATGTCCTGTATAAAATCATCCTCGGTCTATAGGCAGAAAAAAAGAAGTACAAACATATAATCATAGAATAACCAAAATCATTCAGCCCACCTAAATTTCCCCACTAAACCATGCCCCTCAGTACCATATCTAAATGGTTCTTGAACATCTCCAGGGACAGTAACAACCTCCTCCCTGGGCAGTCCACTCTTTCAGAGAATAAATTTTTCCTAATATACAACCTGATGGAAATGCCCTGCCTTGGCAACAGCTGTGATTCATGTGTGACTTGCACCTGGTGCAGCTGCTCTCTAGGACAGCCTGGTTTGTACAGCTACACAAGAGAAGGGCACAAGCACTTCACTAAAATTAGGCCATTAGGCCACTAATCTGAATATGTGGATTCTCATGGTCCTTTGCCCAGGGCAGCCATCAGCTCAGTAGTGGCAGCCCCCCAAAATACAGCCTTCAGTCCCAGTGCTGACATAGGTAATTGCTCCCTTCTGAAAGTCAGTCATCAATTCCCTATTTCCTCCACCTCAAGTTATTGGCACTCCATCAGCAAGTTAGTGGTGGCCATCTTCACCTTGGAGGCCTGCAAGGCACACTATCACAGTGTCACCTGCTGCCTCTGCAGCCTGCTCTCAATCCAGGTCTCCCATCTCTCCTGCAAGCAGTGTTCCCAGACCTCTGGAGGCCCGTGACTGAGTACCTACACCCCACCTGAGCAATCCAATCACAGGAAGAGTAATTTCATGCCGGTTCCTGACACTGTTCACACACAGCTCAATATCGTTCTCAAATACAATGGTGTTGAAATCTGGAGCCCTATTATTTCTCTAACACGTACCTCTACTGACACCTAGGGTGTAATGATGATAACAGCTACTGATTTTGGCCGCAGTGGCACTAACCTAAATTACCACCCTTTCTACCACATTTCTACTGTCCCAGCACTCATGGTGTCACCATGTCACACTGTCATTTGCCACCAAATACCTGTCAAGCACAGACTTTGGTGACCAAAGGCCTGCTACTACTAGCCACAATATCAGGCAGAGATGAGGAAGCTGCCTAGATTGCCCTGCCTCAAACTGTACATTTCACACATTCTAGGGAGCAGATCCTGTGTGAACGAAAGCAGACTGGAAACCATGAAGGGCCTTAGCCTTGCCAGCTGACCACCTTGGACACAGCTTTCGGGCCATATGGCCCCTGCAAAGGACATTTACCACATCAGCTGAGGCCCTGCCCAAAAAGCCAGCAGAAGCCAGGAACCACAGTAGCATAATGGGGAAGCGTTACTCTCTCCCCTTGCACAGGGTGGCAACAAGAAGTTGCTGTAATTCACACAGCTCTGTCTAACACCACTTGGGTTTTATCTGAATCAAGAATAACTCCTTTATTAAAAAAAATTAATAAATAAAAAAATTTGTTCCATGGAAAACGTAGTGCTGAATGACCCACTTTGCAGTATCAGAAACAGCAGTGTTACAATCACACCTTTCAAAACAAGCTTCCTATATAAATTCCCCAATCTCATTTTCATTCGAGGAAATTAACCTCAATTAAACACAAAGCATTAAGCTTGCAGCTGTTCAGATTCTTGGGTGCACTTGCAGGGGTCTAAACAGTCTGACAAATACATTGCTGCAGTGTTGATTGCCCACAGGCTCAGCCACAGCAAATAATCATCTCAGACAGCAAGAGGATCTTGAGACTTGAAGGGTCTCATCTGCTTCCCAGCCTGAAGACAGGGTCACCTACAGCAATGTCCCTTCAGACAAATGTTTGTTTCATCTGCTTTTAAAGCTCCCCAGTGATGGGGATGCCTCAGCTCCCTCACAGCCTATATGCCACTTCATTT